TACGTGACTTCGGTCTACCTACGTGTATAGTTAGTGACAGGGAAGTAAGTTTCACTTGCGAACTGTGGCAAAGCGCAGCCCAACAGATGGGCACCTGGCTCCAAATGACGTCAAGGAACCACCATGAGTCAAATGGCCAGGCTGAACAGATGAATCGTGTAGTACAACACCTACTTCGGCATTATATCAAGCCAAGTCAGGATGACTAGGACGAGAAGTTACCTCTCGTCGCCAGCCTGTATAATAACGTTGTGCATAGCACTACGGGTACAACTCCCAACCAATTACATCTTGCTTGGAAGCCCAGATCAGCACTGGACTTTCTATTAGCTGAACAGCAGCAAAATGCATCACCTGGCAGCCTAGAGTTCGCTGTCAAATACGAACAGATGCTGCAACAGGCTGTAGAGCACGTTAAGAAAGCTCAAGATGCCATGATTGCATCTGAGAACAGGCACAAATGACAGTCTAACTTTCAGGTAGGTGAACGAGTCTGGGTAAAATAATCTGAACTAGGTCAAGAGTTGGGGATTTCACGCAAATTAATGCCACAGTACTTTGGGCCCTGGGAGATCTTAGACATTGTAGGGGATCAACCAGATGGACCGTCATACGTGATTTGCATTCCTGCTTACTTACGTACTTACCCTGTTTTCCATGCATCCAAGTTGGCACCTTTCGCTGTCGCTGATCAGTTTCCCTCAAGGAGATGAATGCTGCCCCCAACCATGGATGGACACGTGGACATTGACAATATCATCGAGCACAAGCTGATGCCTGTACCCAAGCATCCAGGAAGGGGTCGACCGCCAAAGCCACAGATGCAATACCGAGTGTGGTTCAGACATCACATTGATCCACAAGAAGACCGGTGGTTCACCAGAGGAATTAGTGAAGACTCCTCCCCAAATTATCTCGAGTTACGAGAGAAAGCTGAAAGGGAAGCAGCCGGTTACATAAGAACTTCTCGGAGGACTATCGAAGTAAAGGAGGAGGGAATGCGAGGATCTGGGTCCTCGATAGGCCTAAGGGGCCCCTGTTGCATCTGCGCCCGCCCTAAGTGAAGGCGGGCCTGATAAATCATGAGAGGCCCTCGACTGTCAATTTCGTATTTTAGGTCCAGGGAGTTTCGTCGCGCCAGTTGGTTGAAGGAAAACACGGGCCGAGCAGCGAGGAAATTCCATGGCCTTCTAGTCTTTTCCGAAAGCACAAGCCCTGGTCGAGATTTTCAGCCTCGTACACAGACAATTGGGAGGCCCAACCGAATGAGGCCCAGTAGCTGCACCAGAGGCGCAGCATCCTGGGGCCTGCCGAAAGTTTCTGGGCCCAGGCCTAGGCCATCCAGGCTCTTTCCGGATAGGAAAGAGCTTGCTGCCTGTTGCCTCATTCAGCACTTGCATGCTGGCGGCAGCGCTGCAGGAGCGGACGCTCGTGGGCTGCTGCTGGCGCTGAGAGGCAAGGTGCTAGCGCGGGCGGTCGTGTAGGGAGCGGGGCGCTGCTGAGGGCAGCGCCATAGTCCAACCTCCGCAGCTGGATGGGCTTGGACTACAGTGAGGCGCAGGGGTGGTCTCTGGATGTAGAAGAGGGAGAGAGAGAAGGATGATGATGATGATGATGTGAGGGCACTTACCTGGTATTGGCGATGGTCTGCTATGGGCGACATCTTCAAGTACTTCGTGGGCTGCTGACGTCAACAGCTGCATTAGGCAGCCTGTAGCTGTGTAGGAAGTAGGCTGGGCGCCGAGCGCCAAGTAGGGAGATAGGGCCTGGACACTCATGTTGGTGGTGGCGAGAGCAAGCTCTCATTGACATTGGTTTTCAGTGTTACGATTCGTCATTGGTGTTCCAGCGCCACACAGGATAGAGTACACTGACAGATAGACAAACCAATTTCGCTATTCTAAAAATAGCCCCAGAATCGCCACACAGGATAGAGTAAGGAACACACTCACTTCAGGGTCAACTCTGAAGAAGATGCATGGAACCTTGGCTATGGCTGACTGGTCAACCCCATCTCGCCAGTTTCATCTCCTGACAGTATCTAGTGTTTCCACGTACCAAATTTCCTGAAACTTGGTGATCCAGTAGATTACCCTGAGGCGCTTCACCCCCAACTAATAATAGATTCAAAGAATTCGGACTCCCAGGTGCCAATAGCTGAGAAAGTCAGTGCGGCGCCACATCACCCTGTACTGCGCTGCTTGGAAATTTGGGATCCTGACCCAATTCCACAGTCGCAACCTCCTGGGATCACTTCCTTGCCAATCGCCAGCCTCCAAATGAATCGCCAGGCTAAAATAGCCTCTCAGAGCCTTTCAGGCCTCTCAGCACCAATCGCCAACCACTCCTGCACAACCCTAGTCAGGACTGAGTCACTCTCTGCCCAATTCTTCTCGCCACGCCCTCACAGCCACCACCCTTACTAATAACAATCCTGAAGATGATGAATCAACAACAATCCTGAAGATGATGAATTGCCATGACACTCAACTCTAGTGTCTCGCCAGATGATGATGGGTGCTCCAAATCATCAATCACTCCCGAGTCTGGATCCAATCGCTCTGATACCAACTGTTATGATTCTGGTTGTTTGTTGTCTGATGACCAACACTCACTCACATCAACTTCCAGGTATGCCCATACATACACAGAAGGAAGGGGAGAGGATAGGAGTATCACACCGCACAGGGAGAGAGAACACAGTGGAAGACTTGACCATGCTATATGGCAGGGTGCACTGCAAGTGCAATTCACTCCACTCGATCCTCACAACCAGTCATAAAGAAAAGCCGAGCAGATCACATCCAGGAAACAATGAAACGATGATAGTCCAAACCCAGTTACACACTGTTCATTAAACTCAGAGTCTCGAATTGTCAGGATAACTTCAGTACTACAGTGCGCTGCTCAGAAAGGAGCAGCGCTTCACTCCCCAACCCTGATTAGCACCCGTAACACCCCTAAGCCCCTGAAACATCAAGCGCCACCCAGATACAGCCTCCTGAGGGAAGCGCCACCCTGAAACAGGCCTCTGAGGCCAAGCGCCACTCAGAGGATGAAGAAGAAGACCAGCGCCACAGTATCTGATGATGACGAAGTGTCGGAAGACTTCCCGGGTGGAAGTCTGCAGCAGCGCCACCAAACCCTGACAAGATGACCTCTGAGGAAGAAGCTGCAGCTATGGCTGCAGCATAGCTGCAGCATCACCACCCTGGAACCCCACTCCGGAGGAGGGTCCAGCAGGGCACCCACCTCTCTCGCCTCCAGCAGACCTCGATAACCCAGACCTCTGTCAGCCCCTGCGTGCTGGCAGAGTACAGCGCAGGTCCCAGCTATGGCCGGCGCTCCGAAGGTCTGGCTATGCCTCTCCTTCCACGCTGAGCTGTCACCACTTCCGGTTCATGCGTAGCGCAGCAGCGATGTACTCGGTACCAACTGCCAGAAAACCCTGAACCGATGTGCCCATTCTGTCTATAGACTACACTAGCCTAGACTCGACCTAGACCGGGCTGACTGACCGACCGCTACTGTTTCTGTTTCAGCCTCTCGGCCTCTACCGGACCCGGCTATAGGCTATAGGACCGTCTATCAGAATAGGCCCTTAGGGCCTGTCTGTCCTAGGGGTAGCCCGGGCCTGCTATTCGCAGTTAGGGTAGTGTAGGGAATTCTGTTAGTACAGGGCCTGCATTTTCCTCGAATTTGCAGATATGTCCCTCACGAATTTCCCTCACAGGTAGGTCTCTCGGTTAGCCCTCAGCCAAACAAAAATCACGAATCTATCCTACCTATAGTACAGCCTCGACAGAGAGAGGCTACAGGCAACCAGAAAACAGCAAGTCATTGCACAGAGCTACACCAAGAAGCTTCGAGGCAGAGTCAGGCATGGCGGCCTGAGCTAGAGCAGCCATAGCTGCTTTGTGTTGTCCTTTGGACATCAGGGCAAGGCCCGAGTAGTCTGCCATAGCCTCGGCCTATGAGAGTGAAGAGTGAGGGAGGCGGCCATGACTATGGTGGACCTCAAGTGATACGTGCAGTAGAAGAGGGATTCGGACTTTGATTCTGGTTCAGCCATTGAACATTGTATTATTATTTCTTGTGTGAATAAGAGATGAGGAGATAAGGAGGAGAGTGTTTGGAGAAGAAGAAGAGCGTTATCATTTGTCTATGCTGGTGTACATCATCTCCTTCTTCTTTCTTTCTGCTTCTTCTTCTTCTTACCATCTCTCCCCTCTCAAGTTCATTCATTTCTTTTCGCAATTTGACGGCATTGTACTATCTGATGAATGTGTACTTCAAAATTGGCCAGGATCATAACAGATATCAAGGGAGGAGAAAAGACAACAAAACATAGAAGACAGCCCTCCCTGCCCAGCTGTAGTCACTGGTAGCAGGGGGCCTGCTACTGTACTCGCCTTCCCTACTCTGGGCCATGGTGGGGGCCTATGCTGGCCAGCAAACAGCCGGACGGTACCAGTCACATAGCATAGGCACTTCCCAGAGGACCCGTCCAGGCCAGGCGACACAGTAGCAGGCACCGGCTCCAAAACACAGTCACCTTGTTCCATCTTGCATCTTAGAGCACCACTAACCAAAATATCACTCTTCTCATTATCAAGAGACTTCAGTGTTCAGAGTATTCTTGCACTGGTGTGCTCTCGGCCTTGTCGCTCTGCTTTCAGTGTGGTCTTCAATGGGTTTGTGCTGCTCGAAATGTTTGTGTTCTGACATGCGGATTTCTTGCAATTTAGGGGTAGCTAATCTGAAAACGTGCCTGTGTGAATGATTGTCCTTGGGTGTTGGTATGCATGGTGTGGATGTGTGCATTGTCTACGTATGCTGTCGTGTATGGTGTGTGTGTGTGTGTGTGTGTGTGTGTGTGTGTGTGTGTGTGTGTGTGTGTGTGTGTGAGTGACTTTGCTGAGTGTGTTCATGCAGGTTCCATCACCTATGAAGCTTGCTTCGATAAAAGCCTGGTTTGGGAGAGTAGCAGCGTCCAGTGATTTCCTTTCATTGTTATATTGCTTTATTTTCATATCCAACATGACTCCCATCGTTTGTAAGTTCTTTCACCCTTTCTGTTTTGATTTGTTGCCCTTTATTCCTCTCCTTCCCATCTTCCCTTCCCTCTTCCCACCCCAAACCACACCTGGTCTCTCTATCCTTCCTGTTTGAGTTTGAGAATGGGACTTGCATTGGCTCTCTTTGTCCCTCTATTCCTTCAATTTGAGCTTAGCATCTCTGTGTCATCGGCTCCGTGTGTCGCTCTATGGTTTCCTTGGCATCTCTCTCACTTTTCACTTGAATTACTCTTCTCATGTCCTGGAATGTTTGGGATGAAATACTTAGGCTCTTTCTCTCTTTTGGCCATTCAGACTCCAAACTTAGTAGCATGTGGGCTTTTTTATTTAAATTCATCGGAAACTGAAAGGCACCCTGTTGGAAGTTCTTGTTGGACATTGAAAGTGAGAGGGTGTAGGCACTGTAGGGCGTGTTTACAGATTTGGAAGACTTTGTTTAATTCCAGCGAGCATTACTCTTTCACGCTTGATTGAGAAGTAACTGCACTTGATTGGAAGCTTTACTCAAAACTGGAATTGATCACATGTGGGAAATAATTTCTGACATCAAAATATGTACACCTGGGCACTCGGCTGCACTGACTTGTGCTATATAGTGTCAGAACCGTTGAGCTATGGTTGTACCCTATGTCTCTGCTTCCAGGTCCTAAGAATAGCGCTGCCTGGTTCTTTGAACTTACAAAAATTCGGCAAGAAAATAATTGTCCAATCTGCAGCTCAGCATGTACCTTCAATAAGCTGTTTCTTGCTCTACCTGCAGGTCCTAGGTCCGAGTCCCAGTAGCGGCAAAATAGCAAAAGGGCAAACGAGAACATTGACATTTGGGCAGGTTTTGTGTTCAAATCAGGCATGCCCAACAGCCCTCCCCTGCTGTTTGAAGCCTTTAAGAACATTACCTCCATCTCCGGAAAAGCAGTCTGCTGGAGAATGAATCTAAGGTTGCAGAAAGGAAACACAGATATGAGAAGACACTGTGTATGTACTATGTATAACTTATGTAGAACATCAGAATTAGAGACAGGGTATTGGGATCTGTGATTAACCTCGTGCTTATTCTCCTGGAGTTGGCTTTCATAATTGGCAACTATCCAAGTTGAAGTCTTCAGCATTGTAGTACAGTTGATCCATTGCTCATCCTCATTTTGGGACAGCACACTTTGGTCCACAATTCTGTCCACATCTGCATAGCCATGTGCATACTCGGCCTGCAACTGCGGATGTGGACTATACGGCATCAGCTTAATGCATGGAATACAATATGTTCTTAAACCACCAGTCCAATTGGCCGACGCTGCTCTCGTGTACGAGTACCGGCCCAGGTTTGTGCAATCAGACTCATTCTCAAACACACTTTTCATGCATGTAAACAGCAAAGCAGCATACTGGCGAAATGCGCCCACTCAAAACTCAGATATATGGCTTTCAGATACGAGTTCACTCTCAATTGGCTATGGCGACTTCAGCGCCCAAACATCTCACTGTTCACATACACTGGATCACCCTGGATATCCCACACGCATCACTCTAACAC